AGGGAGAGGAAGGGAAAGGGACAGGAAGGGAAAGGAAGGGAAAGGATGGGAAAGGAAGGAAAAGGGAGAGAAGCCGCTGGTGATGAGCGACCTTGGCTGCGCGGACGGCTGCGGACGGCAAATGGGTCCGGAGAACTGCGCGGACGGCTGCGGACGGCGTGGGTGCAAGGGGGTGGCTGGAAATGGGTGGAGAGAAGAAGCCGCTGGTGATGAGCGACCTTGGCTGCACGGACGGCTGCGGACGGCAAATGGGTGCGGAGAACTGCGTGGACGGCTGCGGACGGCGTGGGTGCAACGGAGTGGCTGGAAATGGGTGGGGAGAAGAAGCCGCTGGTGATGAGCGACCTTGGCTGCGCGGACGGCTGCGGACGGCAAATGGGTGCGGAGAACTGCGCGGACGGCTGCGGACGGCGTGGGTGCAAGGGAGTGGCTGGAAATAGTTGGGGAGAAGAAGCCGCTGGGGATGAGCGAGGCTGCGCGGACGGCTGCGGACGGCAAATGGGTGCGGAGAACTGCGCAGACGGCTGAGAGAAGAAGCCGTTGGTGATGAGCGACCTTAGCTGCGCGGACGGCTGCGGACGGCAAATGGGTGCGGAGAACTGCGTGGACGGCTGCGGTTGGCGTGGGTGCAACGGAGGAGAAGAAGCCGCTGGTGATGAGCGACCTTGGCTGCGCGGACGGCTGCGGACGGCAAATGGGTGCGGAGAACTGCGCGGACCGCTGCGGACGGCGTGGGTGCAAGGGGGTGGCTGGAAATGGGTGGGGAGAAGAAGCCGCTGGTGATGAGCGACCTTGGCTGCGCGGACGGCTGCGGACGGCATGGGTGCGGAGAACTGCGCGGATGGCTGCGGACGGCGTGGGTGCAACGGAGTGGCTGGAAATGGGTGGGGAGAAGAAGCCGCTGGTGATGAGCGAGCTTGGCTGCGCGGACGGCTGCGGACGGCAAATGGGTGCGGAGAACTGCGAGGACGGCGTGGGTGCAACGGAGTGGCTGGAAATGGGTGGGGAGAAGAAGCCGCTGGTGATGAGCGAGCTTGGCTGCGCGGACGGCTGCGGACGGCAAATGGGTGCGGAGCGGACGGTTGTGGATGGCGCGAGTGCAACGGCGTGGCTGGAAATGGATGGGGAGAAGAAGTCGCTGGTGATGAGCGACCTTGGCTGCGCGGACAGGTGCGGACGGCAAATGGGTGCGGAGAACTGCGCGGATGGCTGCGGACGGCGTGGGTGCAACAGAGTGGCTGGAAATGGGTGGGGAGAAGAAGCCGCTGGTGATGAGCGAGCTTGGCTGCGCGGACGGCTGCGGACGGCAAATGGGTGGGGGCACGGCGTGGGTGCAAGGGAGTGGCTGGGGGAAGAAGGCGCTGGTGATGAGCGAGCTTCGGACGGCGTGGGTGCAACGGAGTGGCTGGAAATGGGTGGGGAGAAGAAGCCGCTGGTGATGAGCGAGCTTGGCTGCGCGGACGGCTGCGGACGGGAAATGGGTGCGGAGAATTGCGTGGACGGCTGCGGACGGCCTGGGGGCAACGGAGTGGCTGGAAATGGGTGGGGAGAAGCCGCTGGTGATGAGCGAGCTTGGCTGCGCAGACGGCTGCGGACGGGCAATGGGTGCGGAGAAGTGCGCAGACGGTTGCGGACGGCCTGGGTGCAACGGCATCGGGTGGGGAGAAGAAGCCGCTGCGCGGACGGCTGCGGACGGGCAATGGGTGCGGAGAAGTGCGCGGACGGTTGCGGATGGCGCAGGTGCAAGGGAGTGGCTGGAAATGGTTGGGGCAAAGAAGCCGCTGGTGATGAGCGAGCTTGGCTGCGCTGACGGCTGCGGACGGCAAATGGGTGCGGAGAATTGCGCGGACGGCTGCGGACGGCGTGGGTGCCAGGCAGTGGCTGGAAATGGGTGGGGAGAAGAAGCCGATGGAGATCAGCGAGCTTGGCTGCGCGGACGGCTGCGGACGGGAAATGGGTGCGGAGAACTGATGCGGACGGCGGCAGGCAGTGGCTGGAAATGGGTGGGGAGAAGAAGCCGCTGGTGATGAGCGAGCTTGGCTGCGCGGACGGCTGCGGACGGGAAATGGGTGCGGAGAAT